GGATTCTCATTGTGCTCCTCTAGAGGATTACTGGTATTTGGTGGGGATATTTTATTTTGGTTTTTCATGTTATTATTTTTTCTCTGTGATTTTGACATGTGAATTTCTTTTGTAGTTTCTGACTCTTGTGTGATACTCGGGCCTTCAAGTTTAGTTCTGCTCCTTTTATTTTTGAGCTTTATGTTTCTTCGTGGTTTATTTTTTGGGTATGAAGAGCTGGTTCGTCTAAGCTTCTGGTTCTTTCTTTTGATTTTATATTGTTGAGGCCGGATTGTTTTTGTCTTCAGGAGTTCCGCGGTGGCCCAACTCTAATGTGGATCAGAAGTTTTCAGGTTTTCTCCTTAGGTCTGGAATCTTCTACGAATGCTTTTGGCCTCAGGAACTTGGGTGTTGGACTGACCTGAGACCCTGGCCGTGATGTGCCTCGCAGGGATGCAAAGGCAGATGGGGAGGGAAGAAGCCCCAAGATTTCCCAGGGAGTGGATTGAGTAGCTGGGTTGTACTGGATGCAAAGGATCAGGGAGAGTAAAGGTAAGCCTCGGAGCCCCCAGTAAGAGGCTGTCAGCCCCAGAAAGAGGCTGGCGGGTGTTTCAGGACCAGGGAAGTAAAGGGAGGTGAGGGCGGGGCCAGGACCAGAAGCGGTGCTCCTGGGGCCCAAGAAAGGCACTGAGTTGGTCTGGGTGAGAAGGGTCAGGAAGCAGTATTGGTTCCCCAGGTGTCTGGGGCCCCAAGACTAGGAATGGTGCAGGGCCCATACTAGGAGTATAGAACGGCAGGGGGGATGGAAGGGTGAATGTGGCTTAGGGAGTCCCGGCGCAGAGAGCTGAGCTATAGACTTAGCCCAAGAGGCCTGAGGATAGTAGTGCAGGCTAGGAGAGTTATCCGGTGGTTCAGGCCCAGGGAAGCAGAGAGAGGCGAGGGCAGGGCCAGGACCAGATGCAGTGCTCCTGGGGCCCAAGATCGGGACTAAGTTGGTCTGTGTGAGAAGGATCAGGAAGCAGTATTGGTTCACCAGGTGTCTGGGGCCCCAAGACTAGGAATGGCGCAGGGCCCAAACTAGGATTATGGAACGGCGGGGGGATGTAAGGGTGAATGTGGCTTTGGGAGTCCCGGCGCGGAGTGCTGCCCTATAGACTTACCCCCAGAGGCCTGAGAATAGTAGTCTGTACTTAATTTTTTACAGCACTCACAGTTCATCTTTGCATTTTAATGTTTTGTAAGGGTTTAGAATTAGGTCCTGTTTTTTACTGAGAATATTTGACTGCTATGTAACAATTTAAGTACCTTGATGAGTTTTACATTTTTGCAAGCTGATGGAGAAATATTTGGGGGTATAGACCAGATTTTGTTGCTTGCGTCTAGTGGCCCATCAGTGACACACAGAAAGGCATCAGTTGTTCCAGGCAAGCAGGTTTTCTTCAGAGGCTTCATTGCCTCTAACATTTTATTTTATATTTATTTTTCTGAAATGGGGCTCCTTGCAGTCCAGCTTGGCCTTGAACTGCTGATCTGCTTCTACCTCTCATGCGCTGGGATTACAGTCATTACTATTCCTGGCCCTACCTTTGGTATTGCCACCAGAATACCTTTAATTCTTTACCTAAATCAGGAAAAGAATGCATAGAGGTAATTGTCTTTTGTGCATTTTTGTGCGTTTTTTTCTGGTCCACTTGCTGTGTGTGAGCTCCATGGCTGTTTTACTCCAAAGTTGGTTGGTTGGTACCTTGTGAAGGCGTGGTGAACGAAGTGCTGTTTGTTTTTCCTGTCCGTAGAGCACAGCTACTTTTAGAACCCTCAGTTTCATTCCCTAAACCAGAAAACCAGCCTCCCTTGCACCTTTCTGTCTCTCCCCAGCTACTCCTTTCATCCCCAGCACTCTGCCTGCGTCTCCATTACAGCAGGAACATTTGGAGAAACTGACAGGAGTTTCTCTGTAAATGAACCTGTGTAGCTCCTGAGCACACAGACCACATCTTCATCATCTGTCTATTGAATGTAGCCGGGGCTGATATGGTTGAGTGAGTGGAATAGTGAATGAAGCAGATGTGGACTTCACGGTCCTCATCCTGTTAGGGGTGTTTTCCCCATTTTTAGGTATTTGGGTCACTTGGATTTTAATAATATGAATCATCCCTGTATAATCCAAAATTTTTTATCAGCTTTCCTTTATATACCAAACATTGCAGTCATTTTTGGTTTTTCTTTTCTTAAGCAAACAGGTTCAAAACAAATAAAGGTAACTTGTGACCCTAGGATGGAGATTTTTTTTTTCATGACACAATAGATCAGTGAAATCCTGCAATTTTCAACTTATTGTAAATTTTAATGTTATTTTTGAAAATGTCTAGTATTTATATGTTGATAAAGTAGAACAGGAGGAGGAGATAGTTCTTTTAAATTACTAAGGAGATAGTTCTTTTAAAATACTATGGCTTACATTTGGACTGTTATTTCGACAAAAAGCAATTCTTTAAATCCTTGTTAAGACTTTATTTCTCTTTGTAGGACCTGTTTGTTGTTCGGCATGAGTTGGCTATCATGAGACTAGCTTCCTTCATGGGTATTACTATGCTAGTTGGAATAACTGGACTCTTTTATACACAGCTAATTGGCATCATTACAGTAAGTATATTTTTATTGTAAACTGACGTGTATGAACATAGTACCTAATTGTGGATTTAATTCTAAAAAGTTATAGGAAGTTTAGAAATTACAGGAGAAAATCTCCCACAATCTTTAATGAACTTCCATTTCCATGTGTTTCCAAGAGTTTAAGAGTCATAAGTAGGTATAAAGTATGTATTTTGCATCTCTCTTAAAAATTAGCTGGGTGTTTTTATCTTATGTAGACCTTGTGTTTGTAGGTTTTAATAGTTACATATACTCTCTTTTCTGCTGATTAGCATTTACTGTATGGTCAGTTTTTCGAACTTTATTTCCTTTCATATACTATCCATTTTGTTTTACTGCATTACAAATGGGCGAAAGGAAGGAGGGAAGGGGAAAGGGAGGAAGGGAGGGAATATATTCTTTTAGTTTGATCGTTGGTCACTGTACTTGCTCTTGAATACAAACACAGTAGAAGGCATATTGGGCTCCTGAGAAGGCTCATTTGGAAGCGCAAGTGTGAGAACCTGAGCTGGGATTCCAGGTGTTATTGCTGTGATCGTGCTGGGCAGGTGGACACAGTAGATCCCTGGAGCTCATTGACAAGCTAATCTAGCTAAGTCAGCGAGCTCCAGGTTCAGCGAAAACCAGTTTCAGAAAGTAAGGTAGAGGATGAGGAAGACACTTGATATTGATCTCTGGCCTCTGCATACATGTGCACATACGTATACACACCCACACAAATAACCACACCTAGAAAGAGGAGGAGATGAAAGAAATTATAATAAACTTTAATTTCATTTACCTGGATTGCCATAGTAAGCCACAAACACTACTCATTTTTGATTAAATGAATAATGGTTTCCAGAAGGTGCTTCTCTCCACATTGATTGAAAATCCCTCAGAAGGCTTAATTACTTAAAGTTGCCATGCTTTCAGTGTTTAGCTTTTAAATATGAATTATTAGTTTCTATCTAAAATAGCATTTAAAATGTTAAAGATAATAGGTTATGTTTACCTTCTTCATAAACACATGTTCTGTTCCATTTTTTAGTAAACTAAGAACGCTCGTGATATGGATATGTTTTGTCCTAAGTGAATCCAAAAATCCCTATTGTAAGAGACAACTGATGAATCTGTAAAGTAGCATAAGAGAAATGGGAGAGCAGCTCAGTCATTCCACTGGTCTCTTTCCTTCCCCTACCCTGTACCTTTAGAACCCCAAAGATATTTGGGTAAAAGGGACGTCATTTCATTATGGAAAGTGTGTACTGTCATAGCTCGAATGTGGCTTAGTAAGCCGCAGAGGAGCAGAACACATGCTGGCATGTGCCTTTGAAGAACAGTGCTCCAGTGCTCAGTAATCATTCTCCAGTATTTAGCCTTGACAAAAGATCATCTGTCTTGTGTATAAAAGGGGGAAGCCCATCTTACTGTTAGTAGAAGGAATAGTCTAATCATAGTGATGATTATCTTGGATGTCATTTTAGAGCTAGCAGGAGTAGGTTATCTGTGACCCAGATAAAATAATTAGAAATTACCTTACTGTAGTTCTAATCTCATTTCTGGAATCCAAAGATCTTAACATAATCAGGTATTTCTATTAAGTAGGCTAATCTGAAACCAAATTTTAAGGACTTATTTTGCTTTTATATTTAATGTGTTTATTCACCTTAGCTAAGTTAATATTGGAAGTATTGTTTACAAAATCAGTCTGCTTTGATGCACTTTATTTACAGGAGTACTTGTTTCAGTAACCCTGTACTGAGATAGGTTAGCTCTTTTAAGGAAATAGACAGTGACATTGTTGTTATTGCATTTGATGTCAGAATTGTTGATGAAGTCCATTCTGATGAGTACCAGTACTAATAGTTCAGGATGGTTGTGTTGGTCCTGTTTTTGGTGACTGGAGAGAGTTAATCAAGAAGTGCTAGAGCAGTCGGCCCAGGGCACTCTGGTGAGGTTCTGACAGTCAGCTACTGTCTCTCATGACACTCCTGACTGCCATCTCGATTTTGTACACAAACATTTGAGTTTCCTGGGCACTGGAGTCCATACACTAGTGTGAGCTTTTGATGATGTCTCTGGAGCCAAGTACTTTACTCACTTGTGGTGAGGTTAGGGGTAGGGTGAGGAAGATGTGTTAGCTATAGTTTTGTAAAACCTTAAATCTCATAGAGCAGAAATAAGTGATTCTTGCTTTTGGTCTCACAGGTGCTGCTGTTGGAGTCTAGTTGAATTAGGAAAAATAGCTTATTTTCCTCTTTTAAAATTGTGCTAGAAAATAATTCTCCCTATACCTACTGTCCTGTTTGACTTGCAGCTAATAGTTGCCTAAATATAGAATCGAAGGTGCATGAGTGTCTTAATTTTAACTTGGATTAATCCTATGCAGGGAGAAGTATCTTATGTTCAAAATGTTAAATCAGATTAAAAGAGATTAGCTATTAAATAGCATTTCATTAATCAATTAGTGGATTTACTTGCCTTTTAATATGTACCCAGAAATGTAGTCTTGAGATTATTAACCCTTATAATTAGGTTTTACCAAGTATCCCAGTGCATCAATGCAGTGAATTACCAGCATTTAACTATACAAATTATACTTAATGTGCTTAATTCCAAGTCCACATTGCACATATGCAAATCATGGCTGATTAGACTGAACCCAGCTCACTTATTTCTATAAAGGGAGATCTCTATGGCACTTTTGCTTTCCCTTCAAAATTGCATATATTTAACTAAACATTAAATAACTGTATTTCTAACTGTAATATATGAAATATCTTCTCAGTACCTTCTTTAACACTAAAAAATTAAAATTTAATGTTACTATTTTTTTAGATGCTTTTAATACTGTATCCTTTTAATGCTGTATGTTAATATTGGATATAATATAGTAATATTGGATATACTATTTCTTCGAATTTGGGGATATATTAAAGAATCTTATAGAAGCTAGATCCTCCTTTCCTTTAAGTTACATTCTGCAGTAATTTTTTATTTTATTCTTAAACTTCATTTTTTAAAAGAATCATCAGAATTATTGTATCATATAAATTATTCTGTGTGTAATTGAATGACTCTTTTGTAAATATGTTCCCATGCAAAAGCATATTTACATTGCATTACATTGCATTGCTTCTCTTTGCTCATTGTGATAGACTGCTTGGAACATTTTCAAATAAAATTAAAAGTAGCTGAAAATAATATAGCCTGCTCTGGTAATGTTTGGTAGGAGATTACATTAAATTTAACTCTAGGATTACTCATGGTCCAGTGATGATATGCTTTTGGTTGGTGATGGTAAGGAAATTAAACAGTAGGAATTTTACTTTCCTGGGAGTTTTCCCCAGACATTTATTCTATCGTCTCCTGATCTGAATTCACATGAATATTTAACCTGAATTTAAATCATCATGAGATTAGAGAAGGTTTTATAGTTTATCTGACGCAAGGAGCTGTGTGTCTCACTCCCACTCTATTGGTTATCCCCAAATCTCAGTTCACGGGGCATATTCAGTGTCTGTTGAGAGCCAGAAACCTTTTCAAAAATGTAATTTTGATGTTAAAATATAAAAGGTAGTTGAATTTGAGTATTGATTTTGAGCATAAATTTTCAGTTGTTTTGATATCCTAGTGACTGCAAGGCTTGTTGATAGTCCGACTATTCTACATGGTCACCCCTCTGGCCCACGTATATCCTGTGTGGTCTCTGGTATGCATGACCGCTTTTACTAGCCTATTGAGTTTCTTTATCCTAAACACCATGTCGTAGTAGTATGCAGTTAAATTTTGCTTTATGAGCGAATGACTAAATGAACCATGGTTTATGTACTTTGGACTTACTTGGATTATAAGCCCTTTGTGGGCAAGGGATTTTATATTTGTATATAGTCTCCTGTAATCTCTGTCATTTTACCTTTTATTACAAACTTGATTTTGTTTAAACATAATGTTGAATTGCTGTTATCTCTGTAAACAGCAAAGTACTTAATCGAAACAATTGATAAAAACTGGGCTTCAGACTGAAAGATGGCTCAGTGGTTAAGATCATTGGCTGCTCTTCCAGAGGACCTGAGTTCAATTCCCAGCACCCACATGGCGGCAAACAGCCATTGGTAACTTCAGTTTGTGGTGAATCTGACACTGTCTTCTGGCCTCCACAGGCAGTGCTGGGTACACTTGCACACATGTGGCCAGAACGCTCATATACGTAATAAATAAATAAAATTTCAGATATGTTTTTTAAAAACTGGGACTTGTATTTTTGGAAGCGCTATTAGGAGTTTTAATACATATTAACTCAGTCCTCACAAACACTTTTGAGTTAAGCATTATTACTTAGAATTGAGGTACAGAGTTTTAAATTTTTCTTAAGGTTATATAGCCGGAAGGTGGTTTGAAGAGAAGTGTAGAAGTTATTTTGGAAAGGTATTTTCAGTGGTATAAGTGTAGCACCTTCTGCCTCCCACTGTAGTTCTCTGACTGATGAAGTGTTTATACAGACTTCACATCCCAAATAAAAGACACAGCTGGTCTTCTGTTAAGAAGTGGATGCTTAAAGAACCGTTCATTTCAAATGAGGAAAATAGTGATTTCTGGTTTCAAAAGACAGAGAGAATAGATGAACACAATGTTTTTCTGCCTTCACATTGAAAAAACTTAAAAATGAAGAATTATGCTATTTCTGGCTGTGGCCAGTTAGTTCAGTGGTGCAGATACAGACTAAAATAAAGTGCATTTACACAGCCTGTCCTGTGAGGTGCCGTGGACAACTTTAAAGTTAAAGGAGGGTCTGGAGAGATGGCTCAGGAGTTAAGAGTGCAGATGGCTCTTGCAGAGGACCCACCTGGGGCAGCTCATAACCGCCTGTCACTCCAGTTCCAGGGGATCCAGCACCATTGTCTGCTTTGCATGGGCACCGTAGTTATGTGAACAACCCCCCCCCACACACATATACACATAATTAAGAATAAAATAAAATATTTTTAAAAAATAATAAAGTTAAGGGGCAGGAAAGATGGCCCAGCAGCTAAGAACACTGGTTGCTCTTGCAGAGGACCCAGGTTTGGTTTTCAGCACCCACATGGTGGCTCACAACCATCTACAACTCCAGTTCCAGGGCATCTGACGCCCTCTTCTGGCCTCCACGGGCATTGCTGCATGTGGTCCACTTAAGTACACTCATACAGGTAAATAAAAATTTAAAAAAAAATTGAAGTTCTAAAAAGTAAAGTTAAATGAGCTGCTGTCTGTATACTGGTAAGAAGTCAGTCGAAGCTCTCACAATTAGGAGACATCTAAGATGGACTGGGTATATCATCTCTAATTGTGACAAATTCTTGAAAGCGTTTTAAACTCCCAGGTCCACAAAGAGTCACTATGTGCAGCATGGTCACAGGTATCAACAACACTTACCGTGAGAACAGAGTGAGGTGATCTCTTAGGCTATGCTGAACTGTCCTCAGGGGTTCCCTAGCTGGTGGCTGCTCTTATTTCATCAGGTCTTATCTATTAAAGATACTTATTGGAGCCAGATGAATTTCTGTCCTTTATGTACAGTGGTTAGGTGTGTGTAAGGTCTCTCTTCAGCACGTTCGTTCCGTAGGACAGCATATGTGGCCAACTGGTTGTACTTGGTGAGAGTGGACTCAAAGCAGGACGTGTTACCAGGCTTTCTATGCTCAAGACTGGGTTCTCAGGCTCGTTAACCAGGAAACCTGTGATGTCTCTCCTCCAACATACTCCCATTTTCCAATAAATACCTTTTCCATTTCTGTTAGTAAATTTTCTCATCTCATAGACATAATTATATCAGTTGAATTACAATTTTCTTTTATAGTCAAACACATTTTTTTAGACTGAATCAGAAAGATCGCTTCTTAGGCCAAGATCAGCCATTAAGAGAAGATAAAGTATTTATAGATAGGTTAAAAAAATAGGTAAAGTAAGACCTATGTTTCTCTTTAAATCTTGCTGATTTTGTTTTATTTTTTTAAAAAAAACAAAAACCTTGCAGTTTTACAGGTAGTGAAGCATTCACGTGTATTGCTTGCTTATGCGTGCTGGTAGAAGTTTTAGTTATTTTGATCGTTAGACCATACCAAGCATAAATATTTCTCAGAACAAAAGACAAGTTGTAGCAACATACAGTAAATGCGTGTCTTCATCATTTCTGAAAGAATGAGTTGTTTCTGGATAGCCGAGGTCATAAATTGCATTTATATCCTGTAGTAGCCGTTGTTTGTTGGTCCTTTCCTACCGAGCACTGAAAGGGTTGAGTATTTTCAATGTGTCCATTTTGTAAACCGAAACAGTAAAAGAAGCCCAATCCTGCTCTTGGTGCAGCATGGCCTTGACTTCTGCTGCTGGCAGTGGTAACCTCTGCCCCTCTGCTTGTGAATGTTGTTCTGTGACTCAGCGGCTCTAGTTTCAGTGCAGAAAACTTGGTGATACGTTCTTATGCTCAAGTACAAATTTTGTACCTTTTTTTTTTTTCTAACAATATTCCGGTTAACAGTTAGATGATCATTTGCCAATTCTAGAGGGAAAAACGTAGAGTATTTCGACTAGCCTCCCAAATCACGTTCCTAGACATCTCATCCTTTGAAAGAGCACCTGTCTGTTCTTGATGGTTTAAAAGCATTATTATAGTTATTTCCTGAATGGAGTCTAGGAAAGCGTCAAAACACTTGAAAAAGTTTTTATATATAGACACTACATCTGAAGTCTTTAAAAGTTGATTCCTTCAGTGCCACAGATAAATTCCTCAAGATTGCAGTTAAGTTGTAGATTTCTGCATAGTCAGGTTTCCTCCCAATATTATAGATTCCCCTAAATTATATATGGTGATGGTAGATACCCTGCAGTTAACTTGCCTGTTCTGACATAGTTTCAGGTTTGTTTGTCTGTGGCTGTGACCCTAGCCTACTCACACACCTTTCCTCAGAGCTTTGATTTTGTCCTAGCTTTTCCCCTGGGCCTTTGCATAGGTTCCTTGAGAGCAACCTGCCCTAGGAAACAATTAAAATGGCTTTATCCACTTCTCTTAGATGTGGAACCTGAAACCCAGCCATCCTCTAAATCCATAATTAATGGCCTTGTATTTATAGACTATGATTTTATGTAGAAGAAACTAAACACTGTTTTGAGAGAGTTCTGCAACACAACCCCCCCCAAAGTTAATTCTAAACAGA